TATTCGCTTAATGTCAGTTATGGTCAAATAAAGATAATGAAACCGTATTGCACCACAGGGGCAGCTAAAGTGTTTATGGCTGTTATTCTGTTTTATAAAGCCAACTCTGTATTTAACATGAGACGCACATGCCTGTAGTATTCTTTTCGTATTTTCTCTGCCTGGCTATGTTGTATTCCATCACATTTGCTGCTTCCTAGCTACCAACAGGATTCTTCTTGTTCCAGTTCTCTAAGCTTTGTGACAAAATCTACATCTATTGAATATATCCCTGTAATTGTTTTTAAGCAAATCACCCCGACCAAGGCAGGAGAGCCACTAGCCCACATTCGATTACAGAGTGTGAGAGTAACAGTGGGAATAAGAGTAGAGAGGAGTTTTTGCGGGGAAAGGATAAAGAGAAGGACTGGGATGAAGGTCATGGCATCAGAAGATGTCGATTGACATTACATTTGAATATTTCAAGTTTTTAGCTATCAGGAAGCAAGTAATAGGGAGGGAGTTCTACTGACGGGAGGTGCCAGATAAGAAGCTCTTGGAGTCTAAGAGTTGGCTACATTTAACCGTTTCGAAAGTGAAAGGGTGGGACGGAGAGGCCAACCTAGTACCACGCTTAAATTCATGCAGTTTGGGAACCAGTGAAAGTAGCTCGTCGGAGCAGTCGCCATGAAAATACATGTAGAGAAGACAGAGGCAAGCCACAGCACGTCTGTGAGACAGTAACTGAAGACGGGATGCCAAATCTGAACCAATCGCGTTGTATATCCGTCTAAGGATTTTGTTGAGGAGCACCAGGCCATATATGGCAGCAGTATTCCATGCAAGGCCGAGTGGTTGATTTGTAGATTTGAAGGATGATGAACTCAGGTGAGTGAGAAAAATCTTCTGACGCGACACAGAGAACCAACTTTCCTTGCGGTAGATGAATCTATAGATTCAATGTAGTTGTTCCACTTCAGGTCAGCGGACAGCGTGAGACCAAGCAGGCGCAGAGAGGCGATCTCGATGAATTGGGGGTCAGCCATCGCAATGGGAGGTCCTTTCTTGAATGTTACTTTTGCACATTTATCTAATCCGAAAATAAACACCAGCCTTTCAATGTGTGAGCCCCCAATTTAATTATATATTAGTTAGTTTTTTATGGTTTATCAGCCCTTTGAGGCTTATTTAAAGCTGAAACATATTTTAGATTATGAAAATAATACTTTTTGCGAGTGAATATTGCATTAATAATTTTTTTGACAATAATAATGATTTTTCCAGACATAAGACCTACTAATTAATCTTCAATGTTTAATATTTACTTTATCTATTAGGCAGGCCTGCACCAGATGAGAAATAAAGCGGTTATTGATATTAGTGAGCGTAAACATCAGTATCATAGTTCATGGTTGTTGAGTTTCACGTTTCACTGCTTACAGTCTCAATAAAGTGTTGATTCCTCTTCACTCTCCCTCTCACCTACATTATATATATATATATATATATATATATATATATATATATATATATATATATATATATATATATATATACATACATACATGGGGGTGCTTTGAAAGATAAAAATATTGAGAAATTAAAATTATCAGACACACTGGGTTATATATAAATATTTTTTTGTTTTATTATTTCAGTTAGATTCCTCGACTAGTTTCGGCCAGCATGGCCATCATCAGGAGAGAAAAACTTCTGCTTGTTAGTAGCAGTGTACTACAAGAATGAATGACTTTCTGAAGGAAATGAACGTTATCTGTATCTGTAGTTTTCATTTGTTTTGTATTTTAATCATTAATTTTGGTCAGACCTTGTGTTAGTCAAGCGGCCTCTGTTAAGTTGTTTGTTTTTAAAGATAGCGACTGGATAGATTCATGCTACTCTGGATACCCTTGGTCATTTTGACAGTTTTATTGGTTCCTGAGAAGGAAATGTGTCTGTGTTAAGTGTATGTTATCATTTAGTTCTTTGGGAGTGTGTATGATGTGTGTAATTGTATGGCTGCGTGTATAAGTGTGAGACCTCAATACCTCCGCAAGCATGTCTGTCTTGTGTGGGTGAGAAATGTGAGTAGGGCTTGATTTATGGAGTCATATATTAATTTTATCTATGTTAAATAAATATATTCATGAAATAAATTATATATTTATCTAAGTATTTATCTCTTCAGACCAAATTTTTTTTTTAGAAATGAAATCAATTCGTCCAGACAAAAGGAAAAAGAAGAGGAAAAAGAAATATAAAGGAAAAAGAAAAAACAATTATAATGAAAGAGGAAGAAAGAAAACTAAAAATTTTAATATCAAATTAAAAAAAAATAGGGAAGAGAGAAAGAGAGAGAGAAGGTGGGGAGAAAGGTGGGGAAAGAAAAGAAAGAGGAATTAAATATGAGCCGATCTGTGTGTGTGTGTGTGTGTGTGGGTGTTGTAGAATGATAAATTTCTAAATGTGCAGGTCAGTAAGGCTTCGGCCTTATAAAGGTAAAACACAGGTCCTCGTTCGATCGCCATGTTAAGCAACGTCGAGCCCGGTCAGTACCTAGATGGGTGACCAATAGGGAATACCAGGTGCATTAAGCCTGGATGTGCGAGCGGTGTGATGTAAATGGGTTGGGAATGAGAATTTGCAAAGTTGAGTTCGAATACAGTCGGGTTCGTTACATTCACTTAAGCGAAATACCTCTTCCCCCAATCCATGGGTTAAATAGTAAAACTTGTGTATCTGAAAATCATTATTATTTGATAGTAAATTTTAATACTCGCTTAAAAAAAAGAATTGTTATTACAATTCAAATGTATGTTTCGGCTTTATATAACCTACAAAGGGTTGATGGTCTGTAAAAAACAAATCATTGAATCAGGTCGGTAGACGAAATTTAATACTGCTTAAAAAGTAAGCAGAGCGTCTACTCAAATATGGGTATCCACTTAAAATAGCGTTTAAAGTAATAAAATATGTAGAATAATACAAAAAACTCTTTACTTATATCGGGAAACATTACTGTATATAAAAAGTAAGAGATCTGTAGAGTTAAACGTAAAGCAAGAAATCACATTCTAACCACACCCTCTTCATTTACCCCACAAATTTTAATTGTTTGTTTATGGTTGAAAAAAACAATCTTCATAATTTTTGTTTTAATCGGTATCACCCTATGCAGGGCAGTAAAGCCATGGGGTTACAGAGTGTGGAAGAATTTGGAACAGAAAAATGAGCGGGAAGAGGAAAGAGTAATCAGGAGGACAGTAGATAGCAATTGACATTGCATTTAAATTTTTGCCATGAAAGTATTTTCTAGAAAAGACAAGAAGCCACAGTGTGTGTGTATTTTAACTGGTATCATCCCCATGTAAGATAGTAAAGCCACTAAGATACAAGGGGTCGCAGGGTGTGGTAGAAATTTGGAACAGAAACATTAATAATGAACGGGAAGAGGAAAGAGTAATCAAAAGGACAGTAGAAAGCGAGTGAAGCCGGAAGGGAGTTCCGCAAGTGAGAAGTGCGAGAGAAGACACTGTTAGCATAGAACTTACGGCTACATCTAACCAGCTCTACTGTAAATTGATGAGATCTCAACGCCACTCTAGTACTGCGCTTAAATTAATAGAGTCCAGGTAACATAGGGAAGAGCGATATTTATTTGTAAATATTTAAAAAATGTGGCACAAGGCCAAAAAGGGGAATGTGGAAAAAGGACGTTCTTCTTCTGTCTGAACCTTAAACTTAGCTTGCCACAAACACTGACCCAAACATACAAACAATAGTCCTTACACCAAAACAACGCATTCTTACTTACCTTGCATACTACATTCACCATAATACCTCATTGTCTCTATGAATGTCCTAACACGTCTCCGTATGTACAATTCATTGTTTGTGATGGGGAGAGGTATAAAACAACATAGCCAAGATCTCACCCAAACAATGATTATGAAATTATTTATAGAAAAAAACATTAAGAGGCAACCATACGGCGGTGGGAAAGTGACTGAAACCAAACCGCCTGATCAGGACCAATAATTTTGTTAAATTCTTCTTTGGATTTTATAAAGGAACTCAAGGTAAATAGCAAGGGCACAAGACCATATATGGCAGCAATATTCTGTCATACTTTCTTTAAGACATCATTCGTCGGATGAATAAAACTCATCTCAATTATCTTAAATATCTTTTTCTATATTTGGAATGAAATTGCTCAGAATTCAGTGCGAGGCAAAACAGAGAACATTTCCTAGGATAGTAGGCTTATTTATTTTTTGTTTCTAAAGCCATTTCTTCGCTAGTCTAATACAATGTGCAGCTTACTAAACGTATTTTTTTCTATTCCTGTGCGTTTTACGTTTTCTGCGTTATACTTCACGCCTACAGTTACTATCCGCCCCCAGGCAGCTAAATATCTGCACCTGCTTCCGTTTATAGTACACGGCTCAGATCACAAGGAACATACAAAAGGGACTTCAGAGAATTCAGGTGCGACGTTGATCTGACAGGTGACCTTTGAACCGCCGAGTGAAGACCTACGGGATCGGCCCAGCTGCACCTGAATCAGGCTTGAGAACAATTACAGATGGATACACAAGCATAAACAGTATGGGTAGTCTCTTAGACATCACACACGAGAATGTAAGGTCCACGTTTCGAATGAAGTAAGGAGTTGAATACAATATTATTTTTAGTCATTTTACCCAAAGCAAGGCGATAACTCCACTAAGACGCAAGGGTTTACTTGGAGTGAATGACAATGAGGAAACATTATTGAAGAGAAAGTACAAAGGAAGACAAGATGAGAGTGGGAAAGTGACTGAAGCCGAGATGCCAGGTCAATACCGATAACATTACGAATTCTTTTTTGATTAAATTAAAGAACTTACGCTTTAAATTACGTGAGAGGGGGGATAGAACATCTGCAGTGTTTATCTGTCTTTTTTTTTTATTATCTCGGATGTCTGTGTATCTGATTAGCGATCGCATATGGGAATCTCTGCTGTAAAGGTTATATCCAG